ACACTCACTCACTCACTCACTCACTCACTCACGCACGCACGCACGCACGCACGCATACAAAAAAAAGAAAAAGAGGACACTGTATTGGGTCACTTAAAAGTAACTATTTTCTATTATGTTGAAATAGTAAAAAAACGCATAAAAACAGGGTGATGAAAACAGAGCTAATGAGAGGAAAAATATATGTTTGTATTGATTTGTGTGAAACTGTTCATTCAAAGCACTTTGTTCAGTGTCAAACATAATACTTCTTTATGGACTTGGTTTCTGGATGCCACAGTTCAGCTCACTTTCTGATCCAGAGCTTTTCAAAGTCAACACAGTTTCACACCAGAGATCTTTCTGATCGCTTCTTCAGCTGTATCATAGAGTCAGGACTAAACACTCAGTTGATGAGATCAGAGGAAGTTACCAACCACAGGAGGAGCTGATGATGTTTAAAGGAGGAGCTGTAACTGTATATAATGAAGAGAAAGAGCTGTAACTATATCTAATGAAGAGGAAGACTGACAGAAACAGAAATGTCTGATAAGTGTGATCTGTGTCTGCTGGGACTGATCATTCTCTCTTCACTTCTCACAGGTAAAGGAATCTGTATTTTCTCTAAACACATTTAGTGGAATTAGTCTGGAAAGAGTTGATTTGAACATGCTCAGTTTATTCTTGCACACATTCACGTTGTGATCTCAGAGTTGTGTATTGATACACACAGATCATACTGTATTATTCCTGATACTGGACATAGTGTCACTCAAACATCTGATGATGAAGAATGATCTTCATATTAAGAGTGTGTCAGTGATTTGAACAGCTCTCTGATAAAGACTAATAGTTTATTCTGGAGAGTGTGTTGTTTGCTTTAAGCGAAGAAAGAGTGATAACACTTTACAATAAGGGTATATGAATAATCATGTACTAATACCTGAACTAATACTTAATTCAACATGAACTAATAATTATTGAAAGCACAAACTAATCATGAACCAATGAAGAGTTATCCTGAACTACGACTGGAGTCATTATGGATTCACACATGAATAACGGCAGCCTTCACTACATGTTATACATGTTTGATAATTAATGCATTCATTAACATTTATGGATAAACCAAATCAAACCAGAGACACAGGAAGTGGGGGTGCAGCAGCTTTTGTGTTCATTTCTATTTCCTGTCGCTGTGTACGCTCTTTTATTGTGTATTTCAGTGTAAACAGCCCAATAACCCTTTTATTTAAAGGCTTAATTTATGTCCTGTAGACCGGTCCGTTGCATTACGATTGAAAGATGTATCAATAATGTCAAAAATTTGATGCAAGTCATTCTACGAAACTGGTGCCATTTGGGTCCGCAACGTTTGATGAGATGCATAAGGCACAAAATGTCCCAAAATGTGTTTACCAACCTTAAAAAGGGGGCATTTTACTATTAGGAAAACATTAGATTTAAAAAAATATATTTCTTGTTTTACATATTGCATATTGTCCGTGACGGGGTGGTACAAGAAAGACTCCCTTGCCTGAATAAAAAAGGATATTAAGGATTTTGTGCCTGAGGTGGGAAAATATGTTTTTTGGAGGATTAACATATCTTTAAAGTTGTAAGTATTTGAAAAATAAGTTTGTTCTTAATGAACATTTGGAAAATTACTAAGTGGAAGTGGCACCCGTTTCGTAGAATGACTGATGTTTAAACTGTGTGCTGTTTAGACGAGTGTTCTCACCGATACGCTTGTTGTGATTCGCAGAGTTTTGACGAGTTTTATTAGCCTGACTACGTCAGACTTCCTACTTCCGCTAATTTAATTTCGCTCCTGTAGTCAGTCTGAGATAGCAGCCTATCTTTCTGTTTTCCACCGGCCTGAAAACAGCCTGGCCAATCAACGAACAGAGGGCGGGCTGAAAGCCGTGACGTAGTCGGTAAGCGCCGTGTTTAAGATTAGGTCAGGGAAATCGAAAACGACCGCTGATATGGAGACGCGGATGCAATTCGCTCTGTTGTGGAGAATATTCCCGGCATTAGCAAACTGAAGCCCGAACACGAAGAGTGTGTATTAAACATTTTGAATGGAGGTGATGTTGTGGCCCAACTACCTTTGGGAAAAGTTTAATTTATCAACTATTACCGATCGTCAGCGAGAAACTGGGGAGCCTTTTGATACTCCACGTGAAACCGCGGTCTTCCGACCTCTTACTATCTTGTCGATTGATTTTTATGAATATGCGCGAGGGAGAGAGAGCAAGACTGCGCTCGTGTTGTTTGTAGACGTGGGAGTCGTTTACAGCCATGTTCACTCGGGTATTTCGCTCGCATCATCAAGTGTTTACAGTGGAAGTTCGATCATAGATTTGAGTTCGATGCATGATGTCTGTGGTTCGATGGCTGTGTCGGCGCATAACATACGTCATAAACAAACTTATCTGATTGGCTTACAGGTAACCAATGATTTTAAACTTCAGTACGCGCCCCCTAGCGAGAGAGAAAACACTTCTCTATTATGCTATCCCAGACTCTGTGTACGAAGCAAAGTGAAGTAGCAGAGTCTGGTATTACCAGGCTAGAGTTTTATAGACTTGAAAAATGAAAAATGTCCGTCCTCCATCCTATGACCCGGAAACCAATCGAGCTCAGCCATCTTGAAGGACATCTCAATTCTCTAATTGCACCGCGAGGAGGCGAGGATCGAGGAGTGAGGAGGCTTCCAGAGGAGCTATGAGCGAGGATACACAGGTGTACCCTTTGCGGAAGAGTTTTATCGACTAAACATGACGCACGTATCAATTCTCCTCCCCCTTCACATCTGTCACAATCAATTGAATTTATACTTTACTTTTGTAGTTTACATAAACCACACAACTCACATATTTCAACAAGGTATCTTGCTTTATTATTATTTATTATGAATTTCTTAAATAAACAAACTTTAACAACATAAGGGCAGATCCTTTGAGCACTGCTGATGACGGAGTGAAATGACGCTCGAGTGATCAAGTATTCCAATGTATAAAAAAGCTTTCATTCAATTCCTCCGTCATCATTTTTTTTCCTTGCAGCCTTCCCTCGCGTCCTACAGGGGGTGGAGCTGAGACGCGAGGAAAGGAAGCGAGGAAAGGAAACGAGGATGCAAAAATAAGAAATGAGAAGCACCCATAGTCCTTTCTTTCTCTCCTAATGAGAGCCTTTGAAGAGTTGATGTGTTCCTGACAATGTAAGTGTGTGCCCTTTTGATTTGTTTCATGATGTTAATTCCTGAGATTCTGTTTGTCTAATTCTGAAATGTTCTATGTGATTATGATTCTTATGTTTCTTACTGTTTTGATGTTGAATTGTTTAGGATTGGATTATGTGATTATTGATGTATTAGTTGAAGGTCTATGCTGTTAATTATATGTAAGATTATGTTTGTTTATTTGTTTACAGAAACCATACAACTCTATATCTGATTACAAGTCTACTCTATGGCCTGATTCATCTGTTATAATAAATGATTATGGACTGAGTATTGGACCCCTGTGTTTTAATGGACACACCATCCTGGTAGCACATTTCCTGAACCAAGCATTCCCAAAAAATTTACAATTTGGTAAAGACTGCGTAGGTGGATTCAGGTTTTACTATACTTGTGGGGACATTTGGTTCTCACAATGTAATATAAACATGAACACACACACACACACACACTCACTCACTCATTGACAAGTTCACTAGTAACATGGAAACATTCCAGTGATCGTCTGAACCACACCTTCTTGGCCCGAATTCACAACAAAAGTTGTCAGTGAAAAGGCACACCATTTATTATCTGCTTACCTTGATTGTCATCCAAACTTTCAAACCTGCATCAGTGGCTCCGACTCCGAACCTATAACTCTCTCTGAACTTTTCACACTCAACTGACGTATCAGGTGCAAGGTTTTCAATTTCAGCGAATCAACGATCAGAGAATACAGTGAGAACGACATTGTAGGCTGATGTTACAGCTGTGGGCCTTAAACCCCTCTCCTGTCATTAATACGCTGTGGTCTAGTCATCAACAGAAAATTAACGGATTGAGAGGGGAGAAAAATGGATTTTGGTGTGACATTTCTTGCATGTTCGTGAGAGCGTGAGATTGATGCTGAGAGCGTGAGTGTCACGCCAGATGCGTGAGAGTTGGCAACCCTATGACTCCAGTCGTAGTTCAGGATAACTCTTCATTGGTTCATGATTAGTTCAGGCTTTTAATCAGAGGTGTAAAGTCCAGGGGTCAGAAAGTAAAAGTCCTGCCATATGTTTATTCCACTAATTAGTTCTCTCTCCGGCTGGAAAACTGCTAATTAGCAAATCCAGGTGATTGAACAAAATACTGAGGAGGACTTTTACTTTCTGAACCTGGACTTTACACCTCTGCTTTTAATTATCATTAGATCATGTTGAATTAAGTATTAATTCAGGTATTAGTACATGATTATTCATATACCCTTATTGTAACGCGTTATTGGAAGAAGACTGTATGATTTGAATCTTCTGCTTGTTATGCTGGTATGGTTTATGGTTTAATGTATTAATAAATATCATAATGATCACTGAGATCTACTGTGTTTCAGGCACCAGTGGAGTGGATTATGATCATGTGTTCATCAGTTCTGGTGGAAATGTCTGTCTGTCCTGTAATAATGCTCTTCCTGACTGCAAATCAACATCATGGACCTATAACAGATTTAGTCATTCAGCAGCAGTTGAACTGATTACTGGAGGGATAAAGAAGAAAGACACAGAGAGACATGAGAGACTGAGTCTGGAGTCTGACTGCTCTCTGAACATCAAGAGCGTCACAGAAGAAGATTCTGGATCTTACACCTGCAGACAATATGTGAACGGACAGAAACATGTATCTGATGCACGTGTTTATCTGCATGTTCTTCATGGTGAGTTTATGATTATATGGTCAATATAAAAAGGGCAGATTCTTTATTAAACTCAGATGATGATTGAAGAGTCTGTAATTTGTGTCTTGTGTTCAGTTTCAGTTTCTTCATCATCTTCATCATCATCATCTTCATCCTCACAGACTGAGATCAGTCCAGGCCGCTCTGTGACTCTCTCCTGTCAGTTGTATTCCTATTCTGGATTCTCCTGTGATGATCGGGTTCGTTCTGAGGGAGTTGAGCTGTTGTGGGTGAATCAGGCTGGTGTTGATCTGAAGACAGACTCCAGATATCAGATATTATCATCATCAGATCAATATCGCTGTATCATCATCACTCTGACTACAACACTCCTGAATGAAGATGACAACAGAGAGTGGAGATGTCAGCTTACTCTCAGAAATCAACTCAAGACCTCAGTCAGATACACTGTCAAGTATTCAGGTGAGAAAACACTCTTTTCTGACAGATTTGTGAAAACTTTCACAGACTGGCTCTACTCTTTATGATGACTTCATACGTTTGGCAATTGTAAAATATTAGAGGTCAAATCATGCATGTAAAATCCTTATAATTCCCAATTTATTTCATACATGATAAATTACCAATTTATGTTTGGTAATTATGTTTAATTTTTGTTTCACTCTCATATAAACCAGGAATAAATGATACAGTAACTTCTCTCTTCTCAACTACTGCCACTGTAACCTGTGATGATTGAACACAAACTGCATGTCATGATCAATGGGAAGATATGATGTTAATGTCCTACAGGTGATGCGTCTGAACATTCATCTTCTGCAGCTCCAGTCTCTTCAACAACACTGACTCCAGTCAGCAGATCAAACTCTGAGAAGACATCAAGCCGAACTACAGCAGCAGCTTCTACACAAGGTTCATGATCACATGACCACTGTCACACATCATCAGTCTCGCTTCAGTGGTTTACACTGACTCTCAGACTGGTTTATCATAACACATATTATCTACATAATAAGCTCTTTAGTCAGATTTGTCAGTGAGTTTTGACACATATAACTGGTCTTGTACAGTCTGTTGTCTGATGCAAAATAATCATAATATACAGCTAGTGTAACTCACGACACTCCTATGATAAATGAATACAATCATAGTGAGGATTTATTAAACACAACTCATCCCATGTTAGTATGTCATCCCAGCCCCAGAACTGAGCGTCACACTGATGTGGAGCAGCTCTACACTACAGCAGTTTGTCAAAGAAATGCCTTGATATTGTGTAATCATATTTCTGTTTCCATCTTGTTTTTAATAGTTGTAACATCAACTGCATCAACAGCACTGACTCCAGACACCACAGCAAACTCTCTGAGTCCAGGTGTGTATGAACGAACTACAGCAGCTCCGACACACAGTTCATGATCACATGACCACTGTCACACATCATCAACCTCGAAGGATTCCTCAATATTTGTGCATTTGAATGTTTTCATACAGGAAACGTTATATGTTTTAGATGCCGTCAATAAATAGATATTCCTCATCTCAATGTTTAAATGCAAGTGTGCTAGAACCTCACTTAACATGAATATCTGTGAATGAATAAAGCATCAAATAGATTATTTTTGGTCAATGGCGATAGTCGTTCTCCTCCTGACGGCTTGAGATTGAAGTAAGAAGATAATGATGACAGACTCGAGCACATATTCCTTCCTTCTGTGATGTGAAGCTCCAGCATTATGTGTTGATGATGTTGTGTAGATGTGGCATTATGTGTTGATGATGTTGTGTAGATGTGGCATTATGTGTTTATGATGTTGTGTAGATGTGGCATTATGTGATGATGATGTTGTGTAGATGTGGCATTATGTGTTGATGATGTTGTGTAGATGTGGCATTATGTGTTGATGATGTTGTGTAGATGTGGCATTATGTGTTGATGATGTTGTGTAGATGTGGCATTATGTGTTTATGATGTTGTGTAGATGTGGCATTATGTGATGATGATGTTGTGTAGATGTGGCATTATGTGTTGATGATGTTGTGTAGATGTGGCATTATGTGTTTATGATGTTGTGTAGATGTGGCATTATGTGATGATGATGTTGTGTAGATGTGGCATTATGTGTTTATGATGTTGTGTAGATGTGGCATTATGTGATGATGATGTTGTGTAGATGTGGCATTATGTGTTGATGATGTTGTGTATATGTGGCATTATGTGTTGATGATGTTGTGTAGATGTGGCATTATGTGTTGATGATGTTGTGTAGATGTGGCATTATGTGTTTATGATGTTGTGTAGATGTGGCATTATGTGATGATGATGTTGTGTAGATGTGGCATTATGTGTTGATGATGTTGTGTAGATGTGGCATTATGTGTTGATGATGTTGTGTAGATGTGGCATTATGTGTTGATGATGTTGTGTAGATGTGGCATTATGTGATGATGATGTTGTGTAGATGTGGCATTATGTGTTGATGATGTTGTGTAGATGTGGCATTATGTGTTGATGATGTTGTGTATATGTGGCATTATGTGTTGATGATGTTGTGTAGATGTGGCATTATGTGTTGATGATGTTGTGTAGATGTGGCATTATGTGTTGATGATGTTGTGTAGATGTGGCATTATGTGTTGATGATGTTGTGTAGATGTGGCATTATGTGTTGATGATGTTGTGTAGATGTGGCATTATGTGATGATGATGTTGTGTAGATGTGGCATTATGTGTTGATGATGTTGTGTAGATGTGGCATTATGTGTTGATGATGTTGTGTAGATGTGGCATTATGTGTTGATGATGTTGTGTAGATGTGGCATTATGTGTTTATGATGTTGTGTAGATGTGGCATTATGTGTTGATGATGATGTGTAGATGTGGCATTAGGTGATGATGATGTTGTGTAGATGTGGCATTATGTGTTGATGATGTTGTGTAGATGTGGCATTATGTGTTGATGATGTTGTGTATATGTGGCATTATGTGTTGATGATGTTGTGTATATGTGGCATTATGTGTTGATGATGTTGTGTAGATGTGGCATTAGGTGATGATGATGTTGTGTAGATGTGGCATTATGTGTTGATGATGTTGTGTAGATGTGGCATTATGTGTTGATGATGTTGTGTAGATGTGGCATTATGTGTTGATGATGTTGTGTAGATGTGGCATTATGTGTTGATGATGTTGTGTAGATGTGGCATTATGTGTTTATGATGTTGTGTAGATGTGGCATTATGTGATGATGATGTTGTGTAGATGTGGCATTATGTGTTGATGATGTTGTGTATATGTGGCATTATGTGTTGATGATGTTGTGTATATGTGGCATTATGTGTTGATGATGTTGTGTAGATGTGGCATTATGTGTTGATGATGTTGTGTAGATGTGGCATTATGTGTTGATGATGTTGTGTAGATGTGGCATTATGTGTTGATGATGTTGTGTAGATGTGGCATTATGTGTTGATGATGTTGTGTAGATGTGGCATTATGTGTTGATGATGTTGTGTAGATGTGGTATTATGTGATGATGATGTTGTGTAGATGTGGTATTATGTGTTGATGATGTTGTGTATATGTGGCATTATGTGTTGATGATGTTGTGTAGATGTGGCATTATGTGATGATGATGTTGTGTAGATGTGGTATTATGTGTTGATGATGTTGTGTATATGTGGCATTATCTGTTGATGATGTTGTGTATATGTGGCATTATGTGTTGATGATGTTGTGTAGATGTGGCATTATGTGTTGATGATGTTGTGTAGATGTGGCATTATGTGTTGATGATGTTGTGTAGATGTGGCATTATGTGATGATGATGTTGTGTAGATGTGGCATTATGTGTTGATGATGTTGTGTAGATGTGGCATTATGTGTTGATGATGTTGTGTAGATGTGGCATTATGTGTTGATGATGTTGTGTATATGTGGCATTATGTGTTGATGATGTTGTGTAGATGTGGCATTATGTGTTGATGATGTTGTGTAGATGTGGCATTATGTGTTGATGATGTTGTGTAGATGTGGCATTATGGGTTTATGATGTTGTGTAGATGTGGCATTATGTGATGATGATGTTGTGTAGATGTGGCATTATGGGTTGATGATGTTGTGTAGATGTGGCATTATGTGTTGATGATGTTGTGTAGATGTGGCATTATGTGTTGATGATGTTGTGTATATGTGGCATTATGTGATGATGATGTTGTGTAGATGTGGCATTATGGGTTGATGATGTTGTGTAGATGTGGCATTATGTGTTGATGATGTTGTGTAGATGTGGCATTATGTGTTGATGATGTTGTGTAGATGTGGCATTATGTGTTGATGATGTTGTGTAGATGTGGCATTATGTGTTGATGATGTTGTGTAGATGTGGCATTATGTGTTGATGATGTTGTGTAGATGTGGCATTATGTGATGATGATGTTGTGTAGATGTGGCATTATGTGTTGATGATGTTGTGTAGATGTGGCATTATGGGTTGATGATGTTGTGTAGATGTGGCATTATGTGTTGATGATGTTGTGTAGATGTGGCATTATGTGTTGATGATGTTGTGTAGATGTGGCATTATGTGATGATGATGTTGTGTAGATGTGGCATTATGGGTTGATGATGTTGTGTAGATGTGGCATTATGTGATGATGATGTTGTGTAGATGTGGCATTATGTGTTGATGATGTTGTGTAGATGTGGCATTATGGGTTGATGATGTTGTGTAGATGTGGCATTATGTGTTGATGATGTTGTGTAGATGTGGCATTATGTGTTGATGATGTTGTGTAGATGTGGCATTATGTGATGATGATGTTGTGTAGATGTGGCATTATGGGTTGATGATGTTGTGTAGATGTGGCATTATGTGATGATGATGTTGTGTAGATGTGGCATTATGTGTTGATGATGTTGTGTATATGTGGCATTATGTGATGATGATGTTGTGTAGATGTGGCATTATGTGTTGATGATGTTGTGTAGATGTGGCATTATGTGATGATGATGTTGTGTAGATGTGGCATTATGTGTTGATGATGTTGTGTATATGTGGCATTATGTGTTGATGATGTTGTGTAGATGTGGCATTATGTGTTGATGATGTTGTGTATATGTGGCATTATGTGTTGATGATGTTGTGTAGATGTGGCATTATGTGTTGATGATGTTGTGTAGATGTGGCATTATGTGTTGATGATGTTGTGTAGATGTGGCACTATGTGTTGATGATGTTGTGTAGATGTGGCATTATGTGATGATGATGTTGTGTAGATGTGGCATTATGTGTTGATGATGTTGTGTAGATGTGGCATTATGTGTTGATGATGTTGTGTAGATGTGGCATTATGTGTTGATGATGTTGTGTAGATGTGGCATTATGTGTTGATGATGTTGTGTAGATGTGGCATTATGTGATGATGATGTTGTGTAGATGTGGCATTATGTGTTGATGATGTTGTGTAGATGTGGCATTATGTGTTGATGATGTTGTGTAGATGTGGCATTATGTGATGATGATGTTGTGTAGATGTGGCATTATGTGTTGATGATGTTGTGTAGATGTGGCATTATGTGTTGATGATGTTGTGTAGATGTGGCATTATGTGTTGATGATGTTGTGTATATGTGGCATTATGTGATGATGATGTTGTGTAGATGTGGCATTATGTGTTGATGATGTTGTGTAGATGTGGCATTATGTGTTGATGATGTTGTGTAGATGTGGCATTATGTGTTGATGATGTTGTGTAGATGTGGCATTATGTGTTGATGATGTTGTGTAGATGTGGCATTATGTGATGATGATGTTGTGTAGATGTGGCATTATGTGATGATGATGTTGTGTAGATGTGGCATTATGTGTTGATGATGTTGTGTAGATGTGGCATTATGTGTTGATGATGTTGTGTAGATGTGGCATTATGTGTTGATGATGTTGTGTAGATGTGGCATTATGTGTTGATGATGTTGTGTAGATGTGGCATTATGTGTTGATGATGTTGTGTAGATGTGGCATTATGTGTTGATGATGTTGTGTAGATGTGGCATTATGTGATGATGATGTTGTGTAGATGTGGCATTATGTGTTGATGATGTTGTGTAGATGTGGCATTATGTGTTGATGATGTTGTGTAGATGTGGCATTATGTGTTGATGATGTTGTGTAGATGTGGCATTATGTGATGATGATGTTGTGTAGATGTGGCATTATGTGTTGATGATGTTGTGTAGATGTGGCATTATGTGTTGATGATGTTGTGTAGATGTGGCATTATGTGTTGATGATGTTGTGTAGATGTGGCATTATGTGTTGATGATGTTGTGTAGATGTGGCATTATGTGTTGATGATGTTGTGTAGATGTGGCATTATGTGATGATGATGTTGTGTAGATGTGGCATTATGTGTTGATGATGTTGTGTAGATGTGGCATTATGTGATGATGATGTTGTGTAGATGTGGCATTATGTGTTGATGATGTTGTGTAGATGTGGCATTATGTGTTGATGATGTTGTGTAGATGTGGCATTATGTGTTGATGATGTTGTGTAGATGTGGCATTATGTGTTGATGATGTTGTGTAGATGTGGCATTATGTGTTGATGATGTTGTGTAGATGTGGCATTATGTGTTGATGATGTTGTGTAGATGTGGCATTATGTGTTGATGATGTTGTGTAGATGTGGCATTATGTGTTGATGATGTTGTGTAGATGTGGCATTATGTGTTGATGATGTTGTGTAGATGTGGCATTATGTGATGATGATGTTGTGTAGATGTGGCATTATGTGTTGATGATGTTGTGTAGATGTGGCATTATGTGTTGATGATGTTGTGTAGATGTGGCATTATGTGTTGATGATGTTGTGTAGATGTGGCATTATGTGTTGATGATGTTGTGTAGATGTGGCATTATGTGTTGATGATGTTGTGTAGATGTGGTATTATGTGTTGATGATGTTGTGTAGATGTGGCATTATGTGTTGATGATGTTGTGTAGATGTGGCATTATGTGTTGATGATGTTGTGTAGATGTGGCATTATGTGTTGATGATGTTGTGTAGATGTGGTATTATGTGTTGATGATGTTGTGTAGATGTGGTATTATGTGATGATGATGTTGTGTAGATGTGGCATTATGTGATGATGATGTTGTGTAGATGTGGCATTATGGGTTGATGATGTTGTGTAGATGTGGCATTATGTGATGATGATGTTGTGTAGATGTGGCATTATGTGTTGATGATGTTGTGTAGATGTGGCATTATGGGTTGATGATGTTGTGTAGATGTGGCATTATGTGTTGATGATGTTGTGTAGATGTGGCATTATGTGTTGATGATGTTGTGTAGATGTGGCATTATGTGATGATGATGTTGTGTAGATGTGGCATTATGGGTTGATGATGTTGTGTAGATGTGGCATTATGTGATGATGATGTTGTGTAGATGTGGCATTATGTGTTGATGATGTTGTGTATATGTGGCATTATGTGATGATGATGTTGTGTAGATGTGGCATTATGTGTTGATGATGTTGTGTAGATGTGGCATTATGTGATGATGATGTTGTGTAGATGTGGCATTATGTGTTGATGATGTTGTGTATATGTGGCATTATGTGTTGATGATGTTGTGTAGATGTGGCATTATGTGTTGATGATGTTGTGTATATGTGGCATTATGTGTTGATGATGTTGTGTAGATGTGGCATTATGTGTTGATGATGTTGTGTAGATGTGGCATTATGTGTTGATGATGTTGTGTAGATGTGGCACTATGTGTTGATGATGTTGTGTAGATGTGGCATTATGTGATGATGATGTTGTGTAGATGTGGCATTATGTGTTGATGATGTTGTGTAGATGTGGCATTATGTGTTGATGATGTTGTGTAGATGTGGCATTATGTGTTGATGATGTTGTGTAGATGTGGCATTATGTGTTGATGATGTTGTGTAGATGTGGCATTATGTGATGATGATGTTGTGTAGATGTGGCATTATGTGTTGATGATGTTGTGTAGATGTGGCATTATGTGTTGATGATGTTGTGTAGATGTGGCATTATGTGTTGATGATGTTGTGTAGATGTGGCATTATGTGTTGATGATGTTGTGTAGATGTGGCATTATGTGATGATGATGTTGTGTAGATGTGGCATTATGTGATGATGATGTTGTGTAGATGTGGCATTATGTGTTGATGATGTTGTGTAGATGTGGCATTATGTGTTGATGATGTTGTGTAGATGTGGCATTATGTGTTGATGATGTTGTGTAGATGTGGCATTATGTGTTGATGATGTTGTGTAGATGTGGCATTATGTGTTGATGATGTTGTGTAGATGTGGCATTATGTGTTGATGATGTTGTGTAGATGTGGCATTATGTGATGATGATGTTGTGTAGATGTGGCATTATGTGTTGATGATGTTGTGTAGATGTGGCATTATGTGTTGATGATGTTGTGTAGATGTGGCATTATGTGTTGATGATGTTGTGTAGATGTGGCATTATGTGATGATGATGTTGTGTAGATGTGGCATTATGTGTTGATGATGTTGTGTAGATGTGGCATTATGTGTTGATGATGTTGTGTAGATGTGGCATTATGTGTTGATGATGTTGTGTAGATGTGGCATTATGTGTTGATGATGTTGTGTAGATGTGGCATTATGTGTTGATGATGTTGTGTAGATGTGGCATTATGTGATGATGATGTTGTGTAGATGTGGCATTATGTGTTGATGATGTTGTGTAGATGTGGCATTATGTGATGATGATGTTGTGTAGATGTGGCATTATGTGTTGATGATGTTGTGTAGATGTGGCATTATGTGTTGATGATGTTGTGTAGATGTGGCATTATGTGTTGATGATGTTGTGTAGATGTGGCATTATGTGTTGATGATGTTGTGTAGATGTGGCATTATGTGTTGATGATGTTGTGTAGATGTGGCATTATGTGTTGATGATGTTGTGTAGATGTGGCATTATGTGTTGATGATGTTGTGTAGATGTGGCATTATGTGTTGATGATGTTGTGTAGATGTGGCATTATGTGTTGATGATGTTGTGTAGATGTGGCATTATGTGATGATGATGTTGTGTAGATGTGGCATTATGTGTTGATGATGTTGTGTAGATGTGGCATTATGTGTTGATGATGTTGTGTAGATGTGGCATTATGTGTTGATGATGTTGTGTAGATGTGGCATTATGTGTTGATGATGTTGTGTAGATGTGGCATTATGTGTTGATGATGTTGTGTAGATGTGGTATTATGTGTTGATGATGTTGTGTAGATGTGGCATTATGTGTTGATGATGTTGTGTAGATGTGGCATTATGTGTTGATGATGTTGTGTAGATGTGGCATTATGTGTTGATGATGTTGTGTAGATGTGGCATTATGTGTTGATGATGTTGTGTAGATGTGGTATTATGTGTTGATGATGTTGTGTAGATGTGGTATTATGTGATGATGATGTTGTGTAGATGTGGTATTATGTGATGATGATGTTGTGTAGATGTGGCATTATGTGATGATGATGTTGTGTAGATGTGGCATTATGTGTTGATGATGTTGTGTAGATGTGGCATTATGTGTTGATGATGTTGTGTATATGTGGCATTATGTGATGATGATGTTGTGTAGATGTGGCATTATGTGTTGAACTGAACTAACAGACGTGATCCACAGATCCAGCTGATACAGCATCAGAAACTGCTGGATTATTATACAGAGGTACGACACGTTCATTTATACTGACAGCTTTATAACATTACACTATCAGTCAGTCTGTAAATGCTTCATCAATAACTGTTGATAGATGAAGACCCTTGACTTCAGTCATGTACAGTTTCTCTTCTTCCTCTCATGTTTCCTGCAGTGATTGTGAGTATTGTTGAGATCGCAGTGTTTGCTGCTCCTACTGTGATTCTTCTTCAGATCATCTGTGCAAGAAGAGCTGGTGAGTTTGAGCCGCACACAATCTGAAGATTCACACTCATCTGATCTGAACATCTGCAATTATGATAAACACACACACTGAACATCTGCAGTCATGATAAACACACACACTGAACATCTGCAGTCATGATAAACACACACACTGAACATCTGCAGTCATGATAAACACACACACTGAACATCTGCAGTCATGATAAACACACACACTGAACATCTGCAGTCATGATAAACACACACACTGAACATCTGCAGTCATGATAAACACACACACTGAACATCTGCAGTCATGATAAACACACACACTGAACATCTGCAGTCATGATAAACACACACACTGAACATCTGCAGTCATGATAAACACACACACTGAACATCTGCAGTCATGATAAACACACACACTGAACATCTGCAGCAGGGCCTGAAGTTAACTTTTTTGGCCACCAGCCACTGTGGCAGGTGGATATCAAAATTCACCTGCCACAGAGACTTTTTACCAGCCTTTTTTTTTTTTTGCCTCATTTTCATAGGTGAAAAACGGGAATTTCACAATATTGTTCTTTAACTTGTACACATTTAAGTGCTGTCAAGTTATTAACGAAATCAATATAAGTAATAATAACTCTTAGAATATACATTTAAAAAAAATCTTTTTATTCATTGATTTTGACACACACACGCACAACAGATCTATAGACCTACCGCAGCTCGTATGTAACGTTAAACAAATCACCCGCGGCTGTGTTGATGGCTGATTTAGTCACGTAGACAGCTAGGTCCTGACAGCTTTTAGTTACAGCGTTCAGGAACCGTTAAGCAGAACTAAATTAATATTATTACTGGTAAAGTTACCGGCGTACCGGACATTTTCTCACCGGTTCCCAACTCCCAACATGTACTACAGTTGCACACGCACACATCTGTGCAACTGTCATTGTTCTGGAGCCTACGTCAGCGTTACATTATCTCATCCCATCTCACCAACAGTTCAATACTGGCACATCCAAACGTAGTCAGAAAAGGGCCTCATCTTCTTTCTGATCGCATGAACGTTACGAAACAACAGTCGCTGTCATAAATCAGCCGTTCACGAACCTTGCCGTTGTCGCCAATTGACCACTTTGTTTTAAAATGTCTTCTTTTACTTTTCTTTGACTCATCCTCATCTTTTTGTTGGTTGCTTGTTTCAGCTGGCCTTTTTACCCCAGTAATGTGCCGCCACATTACAGCTAAGGTCCAACGCAATGAAAATGAAAACGTAAAAAAAAAACCTAATGAATCACTCAATTCTCATTGGCTACCCGCCAATGTGGCAGGTAGATTGACAGTGTTACCCGCCAATAGCAAAATTCACCCGCATTTGGCAGGTGGTCGGGTGTTAATTTCAGGCCCTGATCTGCAGTCATGATAAACACACACGAGAGGTCAGGCAATGCTTTTATTCTGCAGGGAGGAAGGACTCGAAACACCCAGAGGAAATAGAGATGCCTGAATATTACAATCAAAACTGGTGAGTTTGGAGCAAATCTGTTTTTTTATTTTTTTTATTTTTTTTACAAATACAAGGCCAGATTTATTTTCATTTACACTCCCAGTCAACACGGTGATCTCACAGTGATCTCTCCATATGATCACAATGTGAGTCACAGTGAGCTAAAAGTGTAACCTCACAGTGTTTGAGATTTGCATTGTTGAGATTCATAGACCAATTATTGATGCCTGTGTGTCTGGCTGATCAAGAAGTTCGGAGTATAACCTTTTTAAAACCATTCATATTTTCTGGACGTCAAATCCCCGATAGATCTCAATCTGTAAAATCACAATGACAACAAAATCAAAACTACAAGACATCAACCATTTAACAACTTTAGGCAGCAAAAGAGATCAGGAAATCAGACCGTTATATGATTATTGTGACTATTAACAAACAGTCATTGTCATCCTGTTGTCTTCAGCTTTGTGCCATAGCTAATGTATTTTAAAGACACAGCTACAGCAGCGAAATAACAACTAATGTTCAAAAGTCAAGGGTCAAGAGCCTAACTAAAGCAATCACTGATCACCATTATGGTAACATCAAATTAAAATAAAATGACATCTAAACCTCTGTCACCTTTTAATAAGAACGTTCTGTAGACGTCTGACAGAAATAAAGTCAGTCTGGTTAGTAATAAGTGAAGCTGGTAATGCTGTTTGTGGAGATGTTTAATCCTCCTCTGCTGAGATCTTTTGCTAAGATTTAATGTCTTTTATCTTGATTTCGTCTTTTTCTGTTCTTCGTGTTCCTATTTCCTTCAGTGATTCTGATTGTTAACAGCAGGTGTTCATCAGGGTCTCAATTAACTTAGAACATTAACTGAATTATTCACTCAGTCAAGTGGACTATATTAGTGAACTAATGTAGGGAATAGTGAATGAGGGTATAGGATATGATTTTGAACACATCCTCTGAATGTCGACTTTGAGCACTGTTAATTCACAGTATATTCCTGTAGGCTACTTTCTCGAAAACGACAAATATCACCCCGAATGCATTTTTTCTACGGTATATTGCTGTTTTAATGGAAAACAGCATGATACTGTAAAATTTGGCTGTTTTTTTATAGCAAATTTTTACAGTGTTGTTTACAATTCTCAATTCTCATGTAGATTCTTTGTAGATATTAGTTTGCTTACATTTTTGAAATCTAGTAATTTCTGTAAACTCAAGTAACTTGGTAATAGAGCATGAGAAAATAATAATAATGTTGCCCTAACTTGATAAAATCCGAGCGGCAGTGGCTCAGTGACTACGTTTACATGCAGCCAATAACCCGTTAAAAACCGGGATATTAGCAATAACCCGGTCGCGAACGGCCATGTAAACACCGGCAAAAACCCGAATATGCTCATATCCCGGATTTTAAAAACCGGGATATTATACCTGGGGTACCCCTTTTCTAACCCGAATTTTTGGTCATGTAAACGCGCATCGGCATATCCCCATAGTGATTTGTGTTCTGCGCATGTTCTATTCGCAAGGAATCTTGGTCTTTTGAGTAGAGAAACTTCTCGGCGCATACAAAAACCCGCGTGCAGTATACCGGAAGTAAACATGGCGAGACGCAGCACAGCGTACCTTTGGAGCGAGGTCAGTAACGTTACCAGCACCAAAGCGCAAACAAAGGTGATCGCTATCTGCCCCGAACTATTCATTATCCGCGTGCTGCTGTTGTTGTTGTCTTTGGATACAGGAAGAAGAATCGGAAATGACGCATATTGCGTCTTAAGGTTGTCCGTACGTCCAGACGCTAACCGCGCGTCGCGTTTACATCGGGATATTGCAATTCCATGTATACAGGAGTTACTCTCTCTGCTCACGCATGTAAACGGGTTATCCCTAATGTTTCAGAAACCCGAATAGTGACCTTAACCCGACCATAACCCGAAATTTGGCTGCATGTAAACGTAGTCACTGGTTCATGTAGGTTGTCTACAAACCGGAAGGTTGGTAGTTCAATCCCCGGTTCCACCTGACCAAGTGTCGAGGTGTCCATGAGCAAGACACCTAACCCCAGCTGCTCCCGACGAGCTGGATGGCGCCTTGCATGGCTGACACCGCCATCAGTATGAATGCAATCACCAATGGGTGAATGCGAGGCAATGTGTAAAACGCTTTGGTGGCCATGGGTCTGTTTAAAGCACTATATAAATGCAGTCCATTTACCAACATAAGTTCAACCATCTTCTTGGTTCAAAAGTTTAATCATTACTTCTCTTAAGTAATGTTTTCCAGTCCACATTACTTGATACAGGAAGTTGATTCAACAGACTGCATGTTGCATCAATTCTTGTTTTGAAGTGTAATAAACTTGACACTATAAGTTGACTCAAATTAACTCAGTCAAAGCAAAAAGATGACTTGACTTAGTTGAGTCAACTAATCTTTTTTTACAGTGTAAGCTGTGATGATTGAACACAAACTGCATGTTATGATCAATGTGAAGATATGATGTTAATGTCCTACAGGTGATGCGTCTGAACATTCATCTTCTGCAGCTCCAGTCTCTTCAACAACACTGACTCCAGTCAGCAGATCAAACTCTGAGAAGACATCAAGCCGAACTACAGCAGCAGCTTCTACACAAGGTTCATGATCACATGACCACTGTCACACATCATCACTCTCGCTTCAGTGGTTTACACTGGCTCTCACACACTGGTTTATCATCACACATATTATCTACATAAAAAGCTCTTTAAATAGATTTGTCAGTCTATGATATTTTGATACATGTCTTGTACAGTTTTTGTCAGAATCAGAAAGAGCTTTATTGCCAGGTATGTTTGCACATATAAGGAATTTGTTTTGGTGACAGAAGCTTCCACAGTACAAACAGTGACAGGACACAGATCATATAAATAATAAAAAAATAATAAGTAAAATACACAATTTACAAAAAAAATAGATTAAAAAACAACAAAAACAATATACACAAAAATAGACAATAGATGGTATGTACAGGTATGTTTGTACAAATGCAAGCAAATGTAAAGAAGAAATGTGGTGTGTTAAATAAATCAATGTATAAATCGTGTTTAAGTATTGCACATGTTTATTGCTAAGTGGAGGCATTAACTGTTCATGAGGTGGATTGCCTGAGGGAAGAAACTGTTCCTGGCCGTTCTGTTGCTCAGTGCTCTGTAGTGCCGACCAGACGGCAACAGTTCAAAGAGGAAGTGGCCTTGGTGTGAGGAGATGGTCCTCACTGCAGAACACGAAATCCAGGGGAAGGAGTTGGATCCAGATTCAACTCCTCTCACCTTACATATACCCTAAACCTACCCATCTCCGCCCCCTGATCCCTAACCCCACCCATAATCCTACTCATCTCCGCCCCCTGATCCCTAACCCCACCCATAATCCTACTCATCTCCAACCCCTGATCTCTAACCCCACCCATAATCCTACTCATCTCCAACCCCTGATCTCTAACCCCACCCATAATCCTACTCATCTCCACCCCCTGATCTCTAACCCCACCCATAATCCTACCCATCTCCAACCCCTGATCTCTAACCCTACCCCTAATCCTACTCATCTCCCACCCCTGATCTCTAACCCCACCCATAATCCTACCCATCTCCAACCCCTGATCTCTAACCCCACCCATAATCCTACTCATCTCCGCCCCCTGATCCCTAACCCCACCCATAATCCTACTCATCTCCAACCCCTGATCTCTAACCCCACCCATAATCCTACCCATCTCCGACCCCTGATCTCTAACCCCACCCATAATCCTACTCATCTCCAACCCCTGATCTCTAACCCCACCCCTAATCCTACCCATCTCCATCCCCTGATCTCTAACCCCACCCCTAATCCTACCCATCTCCAACCCCTGATCTCTAACCCCACCCCTAATCCTACCCATCTCCACCCCTTAGATCTGGATCCAACTCCACCCCCTGGATTTCGTGTACTAGAATGAGGTGCTACTGGGTGTGAGGGCTCCAGGGTGATTCTGCCAGCTCTTTTACTCACTCTGGATGAGTGCAGTTGTTGGAGAGTGGGGAAGGGTGTACCAGTGATTCGCTCAGCAGACTATCTGAGATCTGATAGCTGAGCTGAACCAGACAGTCATAGAAGTGCAGAGGATTCAGAGACTGCAGAGTAGAATTGTATCAGCAGCTCCTGTCACAGGTTGAACTTCATCCGCTGGTGAAGGAAGGACAGTCTCTGCTGGGCCTTTTTGTCAATGGAGTCAATGTGATTGTCCCACTTCAGGTCCTGAAAGATAGTATTGAGCAGGAACCTGAATGCTTCCACAGTGCTGTTTCATGATAGTGAGAGGGGGGAGTGCAGGGGGGTTTCTCCTAAAGTCCACAATCATCTCAATTCAAAATCTTTCTAGACTAAAAGTACATTATTAACAGTTTGTATAAAGCCAGTAGCACGATATATAACACCAGAGATCTAGCTGTTAACTAATAAGACTGTAGAGTAAAGCGCCAGAAATACTAGGAGAGTTAGTTAATTTAGTTTAAATGCTTTTTAGAACACAAATACACTTTAAAACCGTAATAAATCACAGTCTTTAAATGAATTATGGATAGGAACCGGTCAGGAAAACCTGAGTGAACAGCATGTATGTCATGTATTAAACTTTACGTAGTTTTCAACCTAAAAGTCCGTGCTGCACAACAGTTTTCCGATTTATAAAACCATGCGTACGCCAAAATTCAAGACATTCATTAAATAAATCCCAACAAAACATGAATGTAAATGGTAAATAGACTGCATTTATATAGCGCTTTCACAGACCCAATGGCCACCAAAGCGCTTTACATATTGCCTCACATTCACCCATTCATTCACTCATTCATACACCGATGGCAGTGTCAGCCATGCAAGGCCATCCAGCTCGTCGGGAGCTGAATGTAGTCAGACATTTCATTTTAATGTGGACAGTAAAATATTTAGAAAAATACCCCACAAAAGTGATTCAATTTAATCACTGGAATACATTTTTAATCATCTTATCTGAGCATAAAATCACATAATTTCATGACTTTCAATAATCATTTAAAGGTGACCTATAGTTCAAAATTGAATTTAACTTGGTATAGTCAAATAACAAGAGTTCAGTGCATGGACATGACATAGAGTGAATCTCAAACTGGACTGTTTTCGCGTTCTCATTTAATTCACGTTTATGAAAAACACCCCTGAAAAACGGTCGGTTCTCCACACAATACCGACTGTGACGCAATAATCGGAATCATTAATATGTACGCCTCCAAATATTTGCATAATGCCAGCCCTCAATGCCAGGCGGATTTGCGCAGCCGAAGCATGGCAGTTGCTCAATGTGGATGTACACATGAACACAAAAGTATTTTTTAGTTCCTTCATCTGAGCCTCTGAAGAAACAATGGGTTAATTTTATTTTCTCTGGAAATTTCCAAACATTTCACCGAGTGTTTCCTCAACTTGGGCCAATACAGAGCTGGCCTCGGATCGAGCTACCAAGCAACACTTTCTGATGTGTAATTGTTCAAGTTCAGACAGGTAATCTTTCTGTCAAAATCGTTCAATACTGTTTATGCATCAGTAAGTCAAGCCAGTGACTAAAATATCAGCTTCACATCGTTTCTTTTAGTAGGATGAAAATAATCGTATTTAATTTGTGAACAAATTATATACAGAAAGCGATCAAAGAACAATCTTTCCACACAGCGCGAGTTTATCTGGACACTTGCCAAACTCGTTATGAAATCAATGACGCACGTTACTGCACAACGAAGCTCTTACTGTATTTACATCATCGTGTTTGCATTGGTGAAAGCAGAGAGAGAGTGCAGAAACTGCTTTGCACTGATAAGATCTTCATTCTCGCGATCAACACTGTCATCTGCTCAATGCTCATCACGGCAACATTTTATGTGATGGGAATAGATCTAAATACTTTAAAAACATCTCACGATTCGTTAATCTCGATAGCTGTTATAGTAAAAACGTATAATAGCAGTAGTACAAGTATTCGGGAGAGAGTTTCACATGTAATGCGTTGCTATTTCATATGCAAGCATGTCAGCCAATCACAGCAGTGGCCGCGGTTACACTGAATCCCACAGAGACACGCCCCTTCAAACAGAGTGTTCAAATCAGAGGCTAAAAGCAGGCTAGGAAAAATGCCATTTATTTCTAAATTATGATTATTTTTTATCTAAAAAACATACTAACATTATAAGGGTAACCCAGGAAACATTATAAAATAATAAAAAAAAACATTCTAGGGCACCTTTAAAATGAGATGATTTAGCATAGATTTACATCCCATTCTTACAGGTACATATTACAAAATATACAAAACCAGGAACCACAAACTAGTAAACTATCACTCGTTCCTTCACATTTAAAATCATTAATAAATACTATAAAACAAATCATGCAAACCCAGCCATAGAGGGGACAATCGCAAAAATGAACAAACTTTGGGAAAAGCTAGATTACAATGCTGAATCACTAGGCCTACACTATTGGTCCCTTTCGAGAACGTCCGTAGCTATACGCAGTGGGAAAACTCCTTTTCTCGAGAATATTGAAGCCATTAATTTAAAATGCAGTGCAGCTGCACAGTCAGCACAATGCAGAGCTGTCTAGCACGCTGATAGGCTGGGCTTCGGTAACTGCACGAACCTATGGCGAAGCGGTGAGGAAGCACAACCTATCAGAACGCTTCCTGTGTCGTGTGCGCCGAAGTGCGCCAAAAGCTATCTCAAGTGCTCACTGCGGCGTCACTCTGAAAGAGCAAAATTTGTTGTTGTTTCAAATGTCACGCGCCGACTGCTCGGTGTGCAGGACGCATCTGCATGCCTCAGACGGCCACGACGAGGAAGGAAGAAACTCAGAGGATGCCTGAGTGTTTTGAGATGAGCGAGCCTACGCTGCCCACGTCCCTGCGTGCCTTACTCTCTCCGAAGAGAGACCCTTCACCTGTCCTGTTCACGAAAACAGACCAGCGCCCCTCCAACGAAGCGGCCGACCTCGTCTCGTTCGGCGGATCAGAGGAGGAACATGATGACAGCTTGACATTGGCTGCATCAATGCAGCCAATGTATTGATGATATCCCCCCCCCCCCCCCCCCCCCCTTCTCATTCAGGTGCTGGTGGCGCCAGAGCGAGTTCGGACTCTGATCTTCTCCACGTCCTCACCAAGGCCGTCGAAGATCTCGCCGCCTCGACGAATGGTTCCTGCTGAGGGCCCTCGACAGCGACCCATTCTCTGGCTAAACCTGACTGAGATCAAGGATGCAGACAGGGCAACCTTCCTGGACTCCCCAATCAAGAGCGCTGGCCACTTAGGCATCAGGGTGAGCCACGGCTGTATCAAAGCCCTGGCCCCGTGGAAAAAACACCAGCTGGTACCAGTCTGGTGTAAATATGGGTGTGGTCTCAAGAAGAAAGGTGATTTCGACAGATGCCTCCAACTCAGGTTAGGGAGCTCTGTGCGAGTGCAGGCCAGCCTCTGACCTCTGGTCGAGCTCAGAGAAGCGCCTACATATCAACTGCCTCGAAATGAGAGTAGTTTTTCTAGCCCTGAAAACCTTCCTCCCAAGCCTGGTGGGACACCACGTCTTGGTTTGGATGGACAAGATGCCAGTGGTGTCTTACATAAATCGCCAGGGCGGTCTCAGGTCCAACAACTTGTACACCATGGCCAAACACCTTCTTTTATGGGCTCACGCTAACCTGCGCTCGCTGACAGCGGCACACACACCAGGCATTCTGAACCAGCGTGCAGATATGCTATCTTGAGACAATGTTCCCCCAGGGGAATGGTCACTTCAAGTCAAGTCAAGTCACCTTCATTTATAAAGGGCTTTTAACAGTATGGATTGTTTCAAAGCAGCTTTATAGTTATAATAGAAATTACCGTAACAGACTGTTTAGGCTTTAAAAAAGCATTAGGAATAAAGTTATGGCCCAGCTAAAGTTAGTTTTGATTGATTCACTTCTGTTGCGAAGATCATTAGTTATTACCTTAGTTAATAAATAAGTAATATTTACTTTACTTTTTAAAAACACGACACCAATCTAACAGAAAAACTCTTCACCCTCAGTCAGTTAAAATGATCTGGAGTGTCTTCGGCAAGGCAGAGGTGGACCTCTTCACCTCAAAAGACAACTCTCACTGCCCAATATTCTTCTCAAAGGACAGGGATGCGCTGGCATTCAGCCTCAGCACAATGCGCTGGCATTCAGCACAATGGCCCAGCCTCCCCCTTTATGCATTTCCCCCAGTCGTAATGCTCCCTCAGGTCATCGAGCGGATCAGGAAACAATAATGTGTGATCCTTCTGATAGCTCCCCTCTAGAACACCCACACATGGTTTCCCGAGTTGGCACAGCTGACAGAGGCCTCACCATGGCCTGTACCGCTGAGGAAGGACCTCCTCACACAGGCGAAAAAAACAATTTGGCACCCTCGTCCCGACTTGTGGGCCCTTCATGCATGATTACTAACTCGGTTGCTAAAGTAACCTCGGTCCCCTGAGAGTATTTCGTAGCCAGCCATGCTATTAAGCTGCACTTCAGGTCTGTCGCTTGAGTTGATTTAACCTGATTCCTATGGCGAGATGGGCCGCTAATATAGTCAGCAGCTACGCCCATTCTGGCGCACGCAACGCAGGAAGCGTTCGGATAGGTTGCGCTTCTTCACTGCTTCGCCATAGGTTCGTGCAGTTACCGCAGCCCAGCTAATCAGCGTGCTAGACCGCTCTGCATTGTGCTGGCTGTGCAGCTGCACTGCGTTTTAAATTAACATCTTCAATATTCTCGAGAAAAGGAGTTTTCCCACTGCATATAGCTACGCAATACTCGTTCCCTACTCTCAGGGAACCAAGGTTATGTTAGTAACCGAGTACGTTTTATGCTTATCTGAATTCAACTCATTTCATAATTGATTAACCTTACACAGTTATTGAACCAAATCACCACTGAACTGAATTGATCTGAATAATGACTCCATTGTCTTTACAGGAGTCAGGAAAATCTGTTTGCATCATTATTTTTCTCTTGATCCCAGTGAAGCTGCTCTGAATCAGTCTGCACTCTATAAAGTACTATTTAAAGTCTCTCTAACACAATTAAACACTCTTAATGAAAGAGTTTGCTTGATGCTTGATCTTGTCCTGTAGAATCACAGTGATGCTGTAATCAATTAGGTAAATAAGAGATTACACTATAAATTAGTTCAGTCATTCAGGTCAAATGATGATTATGTCGAAAAATAACCAACACCATCAGATATACACCTGACTACCTTTTCTTTTTGTCTGGTTGTTACAACCCAGTTATGCTTAAAACGGAGAATTCTGTCCTTTGAGTTTTCCGAGTGAACACATAAAATGCATGTCCATGACGTCATCATATTCAGAGATTCACATTTTGATTGTTTTCGAGGAGACCGTTTTCAAAAACGTACACTTTGATACCCATTTTCAAACGTTTGCGTTTTCAGGTACCCAAAGCGCCATTGTCGTAAATGAATGTAAAAAGTTTAACGTTGAAAACGATGTTGTATAAACAGCCCCTAAGAGAGTTAAAATAACACTGAAGCAGTGTTAAAGTTATTATTAAGATATACTTAAGTTACAATTAATCATTAAGTGATGATTTACCCTTATTGAAGACACCTGATGTTAACAAGCAGAATCACTGAAGGAGACAATAAAAAAAATAAGTCACCATTATGGTGATCAATGTTTGCTTTAAATGGGCTCATGAGATTGAGATTTTAATGTACCTTTATTTTAACACTTTTAAGTGTGGTTTAAAATAAACTCCCAGGAGAGTTAATATAACACTGGAGTTTTTGCTGTGTATATATAGATGAAGTGTGATCTTGACGCATCTGTCAATGCAACACTTCTGGAAGTTGTAGGTTCACAAGCACAAACTTAGTAGCCTAATAAAAGCTTCATGGTGCACACACACACACAGCAAGTGATCTTGGCCCGAACGCTGGCACAGCTGGCCTCCTGTCAGCCAGAGCTAGGCCATGTGTGGCCCTTGTCTTTATTCCAGATCTAGGCCACTCCAGGACCGTCAGTCTTTGCTTTGTTGAGCCAGAACCATGGGCTTACCTCAGGTGGTTTAACCTTAAAAGGCCTCCTCAGAAGGGAGTCCTCCTAACGTTGTGGGACATACATTATAGCTGCGACCAGGTAGCTAGCTTAGGCCATCACTAGTAGTATAGAGCCTTCCGTTGAAGCTGACATTTTCCATTTGATCATAACTTTGACTGACTTGTGTTATCAGCCAATCAAATTTTGGAACGCCCTTTGGGCCCAGTGATGTGTCGGTGCTAGCCCGTGCTGATTTCATCAACATGGGTGGGGGGGAGGTTGCTAAATAACATTACGATGTCCAGAAATCAATTTCAAAAGTACATTGGGTCATTTTGGGTACATTTGTCATTTAATGAGATCTACTAACATACATTGTTAGTGCTGATAATTTTCACGTGAATAAATGCATAGATCCGCAACATTTACTTGTGTACTGTAATGGTCCACTGGCAGAACTTTTGCCAAGCGT